TTTGATAAGCATATTAATAAAAAAGAATACATAACAATTAAGAACATTATATAAATATATAATTACTAAATTTTGAAGAGAAAATTTTAATCAAACAAATTAGAAATTAGAAAAAAGTTACTATATTTTCATAAACAAAAATACTTTTATATAAATATTTATTACTCAATTATATATATCATATGAATATCCCTTTACTCCTGATCTGTTATTTTAGGTTTTCAAAATTCTAATCATTATTATGTTTTTTATATCCAAAAAAATATATATAAATGAATTTAAAAAGTTCTTTTGAAAATCTATGGAATTATTTTTATTTATCAAAATTTATAATCTATTGTTGAAAAGAATGGTTTCATTAAGATTTAATAATTATGATTAAAAATTTATAAATTTTCAAAACACCAAATGTTAATCAGATTTTTTCTCAAAGTTTTGCTTTCTCATTTTTCTTCTATTCTTCTAAACAATTTTCTATTAAATATTATCAAATTTCAAACATTTTTCAAAATAATAATAATGTTCCATTGGATTTAATTAGATTGCTTAATTAAAATAATTAATTGCTTCATCATAATTTCTTAAATATTGTAAACATTTAGCTAAATATTAACTAATTAGGAATACCAATTCTGTAAAAATCATTAGAATTATCATTATAAATTGATATAGCTTCTTTAAATTACTTAATTGCCTCTTCATATTTTTTCAATTCCATTAGACAATTGCCTAAGTTTAGAAATAAATAATACCCTTATATCCATAACAACATGTGCTATTTGGATCCAATTACAATGCAAAAGTAAAAATATTCAGTGCTTCTTCATAATTTCCCAAGAACTATAAACATTACCCTAAAGAATTATATTTCCTTATTTACCTTTCAATATATAACAATAGAATAATGTGGGGTTAATTTATAAAGCTGTATTTAAACATAGAATTGCCTCATCATATCTCCTGATATCCTTTAACAATTCACCTATAATTAAATCATATATTTGAAAACCCTTTTTCATAAACAACTTATCATCATGTGGATTAAATTGTATTGCCCAATTAAAACATATTAATGCATCATCATTTAGATTCAATGCTTATAGGCAAATAGCTATTTTTGTAAATAATAATGATCATTAATACATTTTTCATAATAATTATTAACATCTTTTGGATTTAATAATATTGCCTAATCTAAATATTTGATTGCTTCTTAATACTTGTAAATTTGTTTTACAAATTAGGCTAAATAATTAGATTTGATACCATTTTATAATAGGAATTTGATATTCCCTGGATTATATTGTATTCCTTGTTCTAAACAATTGATTACATCATCTTATCTTCCTATATCTTTTAATTAAACTAATATCATATTTATTAATTAAGAACTTAGCTAAATTTTAGATTTTAAATTGAACCTTTGATACTATAAAATATTGGATCTTTTGGATTAGTTTTGATGCCTAAATCTAATATATTTATAGCTTCATCTAGTTTACCTAATTGGCTTAAAAATTTAGCTTAAAAATTATTCATTCAGAATACCTTTTGATTGATAATAATAGGATTCATCTGATTTTTATTAAATTGCTTGGTCATAATGTGTATTTGCTTCATCATTTTTTCCTAAGTGATGTAAGCACTCAGCTATTTTTATGAAAGAATAACTACCTATATTTATAAGATCACAAGAATGAGGCTGAAGGGAGAATTTCAATTTATAATATTTTATGGCTTCGTCATATAATGTTAACCTTTGTAGAAAAAGAGCTAACGAAAGATATCGATTTTATCTAACCTTTCACTTCATAACCCAAGTAATCTTTTAGATCTAGCTGAATTATTTAATCACAACATTCAATTAACTCATCGACCTTTCCCATTTATAGTAAAGATAATGCTAGACTTAAATTAATAAGATACCTTTTAAATTATAATTGTCAAATTTTGGATTATTTCTTATTAAGTCCTCAATACATTTAATTTAATCTTCACCCCTTCCTAATGTGAATAAAAGATGAGCTAATAATTATTAAGTCTCAAATACATTTCATTCTATAAGCAGATTCATTCTTAGGATTTATCTATATTGCTTAATCGAAACATTCTATTGATTAAAGGAGATCTCTCATTCCATATAAGAGTTATCCTAAAAATAATTTACCAATACCTTTTTAGTAATATAAGCTTTTGTTATAAGGATGAAGATCTAATAATTAATCTATATATTTAAGCTTATCGCTCTTTTTTAATGGTTATTTTAAAATCTTTGCTATTAAATAATTTAATCTAAATTACAAATTTTACGAAAATGTTCTTTTTCTTCTTGATTCATTTATACATAATTAATTTGACCATATATTATATGCGATTTCTATAAAACGATTATTACTTTTTTTGCTAGATTATCCCAGTCAATCCTGGATTGAGATGAATATTTTAACATTTCATCAATTAGCTACAAATAGAAGTCATTGAACTAAATCCTAAAATAATTTATACATATTTAAAAGGTTTTTAACACACAAAACCATTTTATTAGATGGTTTTCAAATATTCCTTTAAATCTTGAAAATTCTATAACTCAGATGGGTATACATTTTTTCCATAAGTGATATAATGAAGAATTGCTCCTAACTATTAATATAAAAGATAATTTACTGAGAAAATATCTGATTATTAATTTTAAGTTGAACCAAGAATAATTTCAGGAGCATCATAATGAAGCATGTCTATATGAGATTTATCACCCAAAGTAAATTATTTTAATTACCCTATTAATAAAATCTAATAAAGATGTGAATTAATAATACCTTAAACAAAATTTGATTATTTTGATTCCATTTGACTGTTATGTTTTATGGATTTAATTTCACTTTAACAATATTTAGAGCTTAAACTTCTAAATATGCTTTCAGAATTTGTTATAAAAATTACAAGATTTCAGCTAATGTTAATTAAAATTATCTATCATTTATATATTCGTAAAGATTAAATTCCCAATTTTCCATTATAAAATATGTAAAAGGATACTCCTCTATGATTTCAATATATTCTATAATATTTTAAAGGCTTCCCTTGCTCTTCATTTATCTAACAAATTCTATTTCATTTTAGTGTAAGTTTGTATCTATACGTTTTGTTAACAAATTTAGATATTCATTTTTCAAATCAAAAGTACAAAAATATTCTTCATTTTTTACAACATTTAAATCAATAAAATATCTTTAATGTAATAACAGATATGTTAGTTATAAATCTTGATGTATTATCAATTCATTCCAACTTATTCTTTTCTAATCATCATCAACAATCATTTATTATATTAATTATTATAATTTCGATGGTAATTGTTGATCTTACGATTAAACTGATCTAGTTTCTAATTTTAAATAGATTACTTATTTAATCCAGATTAATTCTAAGATTTTGTTCCAAAACATAATTATTCTAATATTATTCCTAACTAATAATATTATTAAATAATAATATACAAAATAAATTTAGTTTTTCTCATTATGATAAAATGTCTAATTTTTATTTTCTGCATTCTATTATATACTTTTTTCTGCCAAATCATTAATGATAACTTAACTATAATTTGAAATCTAATTTTATTATTATATTTAAACCTTAACAAGGAAGTTATTTGTCCTATGAATTTGCTTTATAAATATATTTTGAATATTAAGATTATTGTAAATAATATTAAGTTTTTTTAAATGAAGATAACCTTGTACAATCTGAGAGAATATATGAGTGATTTGATTTTCTCTTAAACAAGATCTTCTTTTTTATAAAAAGATCTCTAAAGAATCTCCATCAATTTCATATTTTACTCTAATAGAACTCTTATTATCTAATTCCAATGATAAAATTCTTGCAACATTTAGATGATTCTCTTTATTTAAAGTAATTTAGATATTCCTAAGCATACTTAATGATTCTTCTATATTATCTGGTAAATTTTCAACTCTACTATTTTCAAACTCTTTCTCATTTAACATTTCATTACCTTTTTACTATTGATCTCTTGAACTCATTGTTAATATATCTTCAATTTTATTTCTTTAAATTTTTAATTAGAATAGGTATTAAAATTTTTATTTAAATATACATTAATTACATGATATTAATTAATAATCTTTTTTTTGATTAAAATATTTTCCATATAACAATATAGTATAAGTTCCATTATCATTGAAAAAAAAATAAGAGTTTTCAATTGATTAACTATGTTCATAAACTATATTCTGAGTTTATAAAAAAAAAGATATTAAGAAAATATAATAATTCCTCTCCTAATTGACAAAAGAAAATTTAAATATACAACATATAATTATCATAATCTTATATTATTATCTCTTTAAGTAATTAAATTTCAAATTAGATAATGGTAACCATTTGTTGGTGATTACAGGATTTTTTGATTTTAAATCAATAAAATAATACAAATAAAAAAAGTCCTAAAATAAACAAATTAAAAACTCCTATGAATAATCAAATGATAAATATTTATATATCGAATCTAATTAGCTAATCACACTCATATACTGTTTTCCATAATCACTTATGTCATTCTTAATTGTCTAGTAGAGAATCTATTTCATTTCCCAAAGGTTACTCATACCAAAAACTATAGTAATTATTAATCATCTTATATATAATATTTTTTTTAAATTAACAATCCTCACTTGATCAATCATAAGAGATTAATATTCGAATTTTATTTATTTTATGTGTCAAACTGCTAAGTTTTAGAGTAAACTTAATGCAATTTTTCTTTTATTTTCATACTTCATACAGAAGAAATTGAAAATTGTATTTTCTAATAATATTTCAGAAAAGTACAATAAATTGTGATAAAAACTAAAATAAAATTTATGAAAATTTGGAATGGATGAGTCATAGAAATTAAGATTAATTGAATTAAAAACTTTATTTTAAATAATATCAATTACGAATAAACTGTCATTTTCTTTTAAAATGTCTATGAGAAACTCTTTTTACAAATATAATTAATTTACAGATTAATTAAGCTTTGTTAATTTTTTACTTTGGTTAGTCTTTTAGAATACTGAATTCTGTTTCAAATAAATAAGTATATTCAATTTATTCTATTTTGATTTCTTTTTAAGAAATAAAAAAATGTGTTAAATAATATTAACTAGTTTATCAAAAGTGATCTAGCTAAAAGATATTTCTATTCATAGAAAATTCTAACATCTTATTATATTATAACATTATTTATTAAATTATAAATGCACGCTTTATAAAGACAAAAACAAGCAAATTCATTCATATACAATTCTAGCCTTATTTTAATTAATAAATGGAATCCTAATTATTAATTTGATTTACAACTATAAACTAAAATAGAGTAGAAAATTTGGTAATTTAAATAAATTTTACCTTAAATGCAATATTTATTCTTTTAGTTATCAACTTTTTACAATATTTAAAAAATTAATTAGTTCCCATGTTTGCCCGTAAACTCTTAATTAATAACTAAAGCTCTATACAAAGACTGATTCTACTGAAAGATATAGAAAAAGAACTAAAATGGAAGGATTAGTAATATTGAGATAGGTTGTATCAAGGTAAGCAGATAAAGGATTCTTTTTTAATTAAGCAATATTAGTCTAAATAACTAGCATAGTAAGCAAAAAAAAGCTTGATTTAAATGTACTGAACCAAATCCTCGGTGGAAAGTCTTTTTTCTTCAAAAAGAGAGGAAAAGGATATGGCAAGATTCCCAAAGCTTTTCATTAAGACTTTCAATACACAATGCTTGATTCTAATTTGAACACTTTTCATTTCTGCATTAATTAAGCAATTTATCAATTTCTAATGAAACAGTTACTTTTAGTCCTCAAAGACTGATAATATTTGATTGATTAAAGACAAATATTCTCAAATTTACCCATTAAAATATCTCCTCTTTTTCATTTACTAACCTTAATTTAGACAATTCTGGTTACGTATATGAAATTAAAGAGTTATTTTGAATTATTGAAAATCTCTCTCATTTGTTGAGCATACTTCTTATTTTATTATTATAATCATGAATATTCAATAAAATATATAATTTCTTCAAGCAACAGTTTGGAATATTAGAACAGACCTTAATTCCAAAGCTTCTTAAACATCTCCTGCAATCCAGAAGCAAACTACTTCAAAACCATAGAAGAGCACTCTTATTATATAATTAAAGTAATGTAACATACAAAATACAAATAACTATTGATATTATAACTTTATGCTCCATCATTTTATCTATAATATTAGTTTTAGGTTAAATTGAATAAGCAGCCAATGAAATAAGTAAAAATGAATCGCATTCTTCCTAACTTTAGTTGTAAGAATATAAAATGAAGCTAACTTCTGGAAAATTGTATCTGAATCATCTAAAAATATTCTCCATATATTCTTGTCTTACATTCTCCCTTAATCATTTTAGTTGCTCATCTTAGAATCATAACTAACTCATTACCTTCAATTATACAATTTAGAGTAAAATATTTGCAATTACCATAGAACTTCAATCTAAACTCTTGACCGAATTGCCTTCACATATTTAGCAATCCAAAAATAGAGACCATCATTACCTTCAATATAAGCAGCTCTGACTTTAATATCTGATCAATTGTTTGCTATTATAGTGTCCCTTCAGTTGCAAATAGTTCTACATTTCATCTTAGTTTGATGCATTAGATCGTGCCAGTGAAAACTTTGAATTCAATAGAGGTGAACTTTTCTTATTCTTAAAAATCAAAATGTTTGCATTTATTAAAGACTTAGATTTGATATGAGCTATTAAATGTAATTTCAAAATTTAAAAACCTAAAATTTTAAGCATTTTTATATTAAAATTGATTTTTGATAAGATGAACCAATATTTATGGCTATGAGATATTTCAGATTATTTGAATTTCATATAATTTAAATTATTTGATTTTCATACAAAAGAACATAAATAGTGGATTGTAGTTTGTAGATTGAAAATGGGAATTATTATTAATTAAAATGTATGATCTTTTGAGGACACTTGATAAATTATTTTCAATAGGTAATCAGTATAAAATAAGTATCTGTAAAATCTGAAAGAAATACAATATATTAATGGATTATATTTATTATTAATATTTGAAGTCTAAATTTACAAAAGTGGCTAATTGGCTTGTAATTGAATTATAATTTGTTGATAACCTTAGTTCTTTAATAAATAATGATTTATAACATTGATGTTAGCAAAGAGGAATTTTGAAATTGTATTTAAAAATTGTAATTAATGATACAAAATCAGTTCGTTTTGAGTTTTTGTTAGATTAGAAAAAAAATCTAATTAAATGATGAATTCATCAAAATATGTTTTCCTGACTTCAGATATTCATATAGGCTGTTTTAGATAATTCAATTTTTTTCGAGTTTTGATGGAATAGTAGAAAATTATTATAAATATTATTAAATAATTATATATATTATAATTTATTAATAATCATTCTTCCTTGTATTTCCTAATTTATATTTCTTTTGATGAGTCATTCCAAGTTATCAAATAGTTTTCTTCATCACTTAATGGCCCAAATATTGAATTAGAACCAAATAGAATAGATTACTCAAGTCTAAATTCTCCATTTTGTGTTTTTCTTATAAAATTGTCAAATTTATCGTGTCTATTAGTTAATACTTATTTTTATTTAAGATATTATTACGGAAATAATATTTGACAATCATCACCTTGATTAATAATAATATCTTTAGTTTTTGTGAATTATTTAGTTACACTATTCATCTCATAGATATGCATCAAATTGCCTGATTTTGGTTTAAATGTAAATTGATTATTATTGATAAAGCATAATTGACGTCCAATACAATCAGCTTTAACTTTTTAAATTACATTCCAATTTCTATTTGAAAATTCAATTATTAAAATTAAATTATCATGTCCACAAGAAATAACTTAATTTTATTAGTCATTTAAACTTAACATAAAACATAATTCTGATGATCTGTGAAAGTTTAAGAACAGATCCAATCATTTTTGTTAAACCTTATCATAACTTCCAGATATTAATTAATTGGATTTTTTCATAAAGTTTAATGTAAACACATAACTTTTATGTTGATCTAATATTTGAATTTATTATTAAACTCCTTATTTGAATTCATATAAAATTATTTGATTCTCGCATCCAACTGCAACAGTTGAGCAATCTGTATTAAAAGCAAAAGCACGACAACAATTCTATTATTTAATTGAATTATCTTAAATAATTTAATAAGTAAATGGTTTTAAATTGATTTAAGATTGAGATTTAATTTCTTAGTCTTATTCTAATTAAAGTTATGAGTATTAGTTTATTAATGATTATTAATGTACATCTTTTATTTTTTAATTGATTAATGGCGTTAATTCTTAAAGCATGTTTTATTAAAACTGGGATTAACAAATGAAGTCAAATTCTTTTACTTTTGGTAATAATAATTCTGATTTACAATTGCTAATTTATTAAACTTGATTATCTAGGATGAATACTTAATCAATGAAATTATTGATCTTGTCAAATGATAACTAAAACTAACAATAAACAAATACATCTAAATACTTATCCATTTCTTTCATGTGATATTTTAATTTACTCTAGATGACTTATTCAATTGACATTTTCTAATTATATTAATATTATTAATAAAAGTTTTCTTATATATTACAAGATATCTCCAAAAATACATAATCTATTATAAATTACAGCTTAGATCAGTTAGCTTGCTTCCTTTTGAAAAATACATATTAACCTTGATCGAAAAACAAATAAAAACAATGCCTTATCATAGATCTATTTATCAAAATTTTACTCTATGATATCATCATTTATATTATATCCATCTATATGATAAATTCTTTAAAAAAAGAAAAAGAAAAATAATACATAATATTTGAATAAATAATTAGAATCACATGATAATTGATGATTGGAATAGAAAATAAAATCTTAAAAAAAAGCATTATTTAACTTGATATTTCATCCAATGAACTTATTTATTGTATTTTTATGAAGGATGCTTTAACATTCGCTTTTAAAATTTACAAAAGTTTATTAAATTACTAATATGATTATTAGAATTCTCCATAAGGCAGCTGATCTACTACACTCATCTAAGCTAATGAAATATCAAATTTTTACAACAAATTCAATTAAGAATTACAGAAAGAAACAGATTTGCAATATTTTATGATTTCTATGAGATTAGGGTTTCGCAATATTTATATTAAAATATTAATTTTCGGAATAAAATTACAAATGTTGGTTTATAAACCATTGAAAATAACTTAGAAGTATATCCATTGAATAATCAATTAATTTCAATATTTAGGGATCAAAATTTTTAATAGTGATAGGTTTAAAAGTACTTGATAATTCTGAAGAAACTCAATAATATATCTATATAACTACTTTCTGTTTGGTTTTTGTTTAGAGAATGATTCAGCTAAGAAAGCAAGAAGAGGATTAAGATAAAAATAAATGTTTTATTTAACTTTTATATTTGTTCTATTAGAAAGTAACATATTTATATTTTTATAATGAATATTTATCATAAATTAAATACATCCTTGTATACTTACAAAAGATTTTTATCATTAATAATAAAAATATATTATTGTTTCAATTCAAAAAAATTGTAACTTATATCTTATAATTTTATTAATTTCAATTAAAAATAATCATTAAATCATCAAATGATACTGAAACAATAATTGCAGGATTAATAAGGATTAAGATATCAACTCACTCAAATTTTGGTATCTTTATCAAAATGATTACTAATCATTTATAAATATTTTAAGTTATATTTACTTTTAAATTTATAACCTTTATAGATATTGGAAACGCTCATTCAAATGATGAATCATTCAATTGGTTATTAAAAATATTTTTGATGTTGAATTTTATTATTCTATGATAATATGGTAAATAATAATGGTTTTGTGTTAGATTACTCTGAAAATAAATAAGCAGATTCAGTTTAAACCAAATTACTACAACATGAATCTAACTTTCTAGATTACTTAACAATCGATATTATAGGTTCCTATACTATGAAGAAAATATTAAAAAAAATACATATATTATTGTCGTAAGAACATTGATTCCTTAACTGAAGCAAGAACATCTATCTATAATTTTTATTTTTCAATACTAAGTTAACATTATTCTTCAAGATTTAAATATTAGTTATCCCTTTTATTAAATTACAATTAATCCTTTAAGCTGAATGCCATGATGATTACATTTATATTAGCTTTGCTGACATTTTGTATATTTAGACATGTTCTTCAAGTCTAAAAATTCGAATCAACAAAAATGAGTATCAAACCAAATATAAGACACCATAAAACATAGTAAAAATGTAAATTTTGAGCAAAAATAGAAATTTTTTACAAGAAAATTTGAAATAAAATACTAAATCTGAAAAATAGAGATTGTTTAAATTATTTTTATATATATGGAATCTATAAAAAATTACATCTATGGTTTAATAACAACTTTATTGTATTTTTATATAGCCTTTCTCCATGTATATAATAAAAAGTATATTTGTGTATAATAATTTAAGGTATTTAATAATTGGGTATTAGATAGTGATAAAGCTTGTTAAATTGGATAGAATTTCAATGAGAGCAAGTATGATACTACAAAAGTTTTCATATTGAGAGTAATTCCTCTTGTAATAATTGATTAAATTAAAAAAAAGATTCATTGTTCATAATACAAAATGTTAACTTTTTTTGATGATATTAATGTTTCTATCTATAATTATAAAAAATTCTAATGATTTCCTTCAAAGTGAATTAAGATAATTAAATTATCTTGTGCAATCCTAAAATATATTAAACTTGGATTTTAAAAAAATTACAAGAGTAATTTTTTCTTCATCTGTAAGTAATTAATTATTATTTATATTTAATAATAAACAATTATTATTGGATTATGCAGNTCATTCAAATGATGAATCATTCAATTGGTTATTAAAAATATTTTTGATGTTGAATTTTATTATTCTATGATAATATGGTAAATAATAATGGTTTTGTGTTAGATTACTCTGAAAATAAATAAGCAGATTCAGTTTAAACCAAATTACTACAACATGAATCTAACTTTCTAGATTACTTAACAATCGATATTATAGGTTCCTATACTATGAAGAAAATATTAAAAAAAATACATATATTATTGTCGTAAGAACATTGATTCCTTAACTGAAGCAAGAACATCTATCTATAATTTTTATTTTTCAATACTAAGTTAACATTATTCTTCAAGATTTAAATATTAGTTATCCCTTTTATTAAATTACAATTAATCCTTTAAGCTGAATGCCATGATGATTACATTTATATTAGCTTTGCTGACATTTTGTATATTTAGACATGTTCTTCAAGTCTAAAAATTCGAATCAACAAAAATGAGTATCAAACCAAATATAAGACACCATAAAACATAGTAAAAATGTAAATTTTGAGCAAAAATAGAAATTTTTTACAAGAAAATTTGAAATAAAATACTAAATCTGAAAAATAGAGATTGTTTAAATTATTTTTATATATATGGAATCTATAAAAAATTACATCTATGGTTTAATAACAACTTTATTGTATTTTTATATAGCCTTTCTCCATGTATATAATAAAAAGTATATTTGTGTATAATAATTTAAGGTATTTAATAATTGGGTATTAGATAGTGATAAAGCTTGTTAAATTGGATAGAATTTCAATGAGAGCAAGTATGATACTACAAAAGTTTTCATATTGAGAGTAATTCCTCTTGTAATAATTGATTAAATTAAAAAAAAGATTCATTGTTCATAATACAAAATGTTAACTTTTTTTGATGATATTAATGTTTCTATCTATAATTATAAAAAATTCTAATGATTTCCTTCAAAGTGAATTAAGATAATTAAATTATCTTGTGCAATCCTAAAATATATTAAACTTGGATTTTAAAAAAATTACAAGAGTAATTTTTTCTTCATCTGTAAGTAATTAATTATTATTTATATTTAATAATAAACAATTATTATTGGATTATGCAGTTTTTCTAACTTATCTTGATATTTCTAATTCATTATAGATAGTTTATGCAATAAATGAAAATCAGTTATCAAATTGATTTAGGCATTATTTAATAGGTAAACAAATTATTTGTTATTGAAATCACACTTTAATTTATTTCAATAATCTTTAATAAAGTGGGAAGTAAAATATTACTGAAGAGCTTTTTAGATGAATGATAAGACATAGAATTTTTAATTATTTATTTGATGTTTTAATTTAACCTGGATAAATTATTAAGTAAATTATGGCTTAATTTCATTTAATTCGATTACTAAAATTTGATAACATCAATAAAAAATTAATTACTCTCTTAATAAAAAAACTTCAAAGTTGTTACTTTGATTGAGAAATAAAAGAGTGAATTTAATTTTAGAGATTTATTTTATGTCTATACTTACATTTTAACAATAGACTTGGCAATTAATAGAGTAATTTTGGAATCTTTAATTAAGAAGATTCCTTTATAGTTTTCACAAATGATCAGCTTATTTAGAGTAATAAAGATTTTTTTTTTTTAATTTTAGCTTCTGTTCTTAAAATAAAAATATTAATGAAAAATCTTAGATTTATTAAAATATTGAGCTAAACGACCTGTTGTTTAGTTGAATCAAGTTTTGTGAGATTAGAGGGAATGTAAATTTATTATCATATTATTTGTTAAAATATTCATGAAAAAGAAATGATCTTCGGTAAATCAAATACAAATGATTATTCAAAAATTAATAGATGAAATTCATTATTTGAAACATTGATCTTAAGGCTAATTCAAAATCAATTTATATGAGCCATATGAATTTAACCACACATAAAAATTATTTTTTATCTCTAACTTCTTAAGAATATTTTTATCCTTTAAAACTATCATA